CAAATGTTGCTAGCATTTGGTCAGGCTAAACTCCTAACAGAAGGGGTCTTATTTACTCTGAGTATCACTTTCTACGAACGCGGTGTCTAAAATAAGGAAAAGTCAATGGACGTGGTAGCACAACATGCATTGCTTGCTACTTATTTAAAGATACGACGCAGTTTCCACTCAAATGTGTTCACCATCTGTCAGACATTTTGCCTTCCTAATATAAGACAAAGTGACGCTTTTCCATCCTAATGGAAAGACACGGTGTAATTTCGACCAATTGTCAGCCAATGATAACAATGATAAGCGTACCAGAGGTACTTATGAATGAACTGACAAAGTTCGGAGTTGCGTTCAATAAGGCACAGCCTACGGATTATGATCCAGGCTCAAGACATCCTGGATTAATTTTGACACAGTGTCAAGGCCTATTAGTGGAAATATGCCAAATTTCTCTAGTATATGATAATTGTGAAATAAGTTGTGCGCGCATCAACGCTCCGCAACAAACAACTTCGTGAGCACACAGTGGCCACTCAGACTAGCCAAAACGTCCAGAGGCATTTATTGTTTCTGTCAGCGTAACATTGATGCCATCTCAAAATGTTCAATCACATGCACAAAAACTCCTATCTCATACACAGCATTCAGCAAAAGTAGAACGCGCATACGTCGGTGAATTTTGCCAGTTCATTAATATATCCCGTTCTGTTATTTTTCGGGGACCAGTTGGAAATCAAGGCCACCACCTTCCTTTTGCGCTGAGCATGGTGTTTTGGCAGCCATCGAATGTTGTTCATATCGAGCATGCGAATTTGTTCCTGCACTGGAATAATAAACTCCGGCTTTTGATTGGCCATGAATACTCCGTAAGCATAGGGCACATGGGATTCAGGATTGGTTGTCAGCATAAGTGTAACCTGGAAACGGATTAAGAGGCAGTATTATGGAGGAAATGCAAAAATCTCGATCTCGGTACAAGATTGCGCCTTTTTTAGATAACAGTATACTTCTGCGTGGATGCCGACCGCAAGGATTGAATACATTGAGATAAATAGCCAACGGAAAGCGTAAATAGTGTAATGCATAAGGATAATGGTATAGACCGCACGGTAAGGAATTCATGCAAAGTCAGGCTCGAAATTGCGTTTGATCGTTTAGCATGATGTTTGGCCAAGTCATGCTGATTTCGTCCGGAGGAAGCCTTTTAATAAGGAAAAATATACTTGTAGTTCTGCTTTATGAGGAAAACAGGCATCCATTTTGGCGAAATCTGGAAATTTTGATTTCGGATAAATGTTCTATGCTATCAAAGACAAAAGACTTTAAGTACAGTATACCCAGGAATTTGTGCAAAGGTTATGCCGAGATTTGACTTGGCAGTTAAGCATATATATGTTGAGAAAGCCTTTAAGTAAGGAAAACTGTCCGTTTTGTTCAATTTATTGAGGATGGTAGGCTTTAATTATAGCCAGATGAGGGGTTGCCTTATGTCGAAGGAATTTCCTATGCTATTACGTACAACAAAAGCAAAACGTCTACTTTATATATTATGCTATGAAATAACCCAAAATTAGTAAGCAAAGTTGGCAATCTATCACTTTCACAACCGAAAAAAAATAGTGCAACTTTGCTCAAGTGCAAGTAAAGTCAACTTTCAAGGAAAGTAAACGCTTTTATATTAAGAAAGTGGTATGGTTAACCTTTAAACTGATGATGATATTTAATTATATTGTTCTAATTCATAGCTACTTATATGTCTTCGGAACATGGGGATTACTAAGCTAACGTAATTTTCTCTAACGAACAATTGGTACCACTCGTATTACTCGTAAGCACCGAATTTGCTTAAGGTCGTTCATAATTATTTTCAAGTATTCTTACATGCGTTAAAATCGGTTTGCGAGTGGTTATCAACCTTTTGCCAACTGTGACGTTTACGAGAAGTCAGAAATAAGAAAGAAACTTTTAAAATGTATCCCATCTAGAACCGGGACGTTTAGTTAGGATTTGAACTAATGCAAGCAAAGCTAAGCACCTTGTCGAACATTAATTACGTTTTATATTTTTTTTTAATCATAAACTTGCCTACGGTTTTTCATTATTATTTTAAAGTAATCGCATAGACTTTCATGTCGATATTCCAGTCATTATCAATCGTTCGCAATTGAGTTCTTCATGCGCATTCTAGAATCTAGTGCTATGCTATTCTCAGGGGTTCGCATTTGCAAGGTTTCCCGTATGCCTTGTTTTTTCAGTTTGGATGGCTTGTAGAATGACCTGGGTCATCCAATACCATCAACTCATGGGACATATATGGAAACGGGGACAATCTTTGCCCAACTGTGAATCGTTTTGACAATGCGTCTATTACGTATGCGTAGAAGTTACAGAAAATTGTTGACCTATAACCAAATAATGGTTTCTCGGGTAAACATCCGACCTTAATTTCCTGCCCGTTTTATACTGACAGAAGACGGATTCGCCATTAAGAATACACTGACTTATTAACTATAAACGCTAATATATGGTTCATGTCGTAGGGTCATTTGTGGGAAGCTTACATAATCCCGAAAAAGTCCCGCGAATGGCATGCTGAAGGGGGATTCTCCTGATTCCAGGGCCCACAGCTGGTTGTCGGGTTTTGGCAGGGCTCCTGCTAGAGGCTCCCCCGTAAACACCGCTATAACGGCCTGCTGATAATCGGAAAAGGCCGTAGAGAATCTGCAGCGATGCTGGCAACCGTCGGAGGACAGACTATGCGAACTACCTCGACTGTCGTAGAAGATGAGAGGTCCATCATTTTCACTCACCTAGGTTTATTAGAACTACATTACATTTTGTGTTGTCAACATTTTCATAAATTGAGCAGAACTCGCGAATAGATATTGTACACGTTCAAGACGATATTATAATTATATGAAAGGATGTCTGGGGAGTATTTGCAGCCAAAACAGTTAGAGTTTCAGATAAGAAAGAACAAATGAGAGCTCACGTGCTCTTAAGTTTTTAATTGTACACAAATTTAAAACTACGATTGGTAAGTACGGTACACGCCATGTACCCCATGCCTCACAGCCAGCGCAGTAGTCTTTCCAAGAAAGATATTTTAAGTGCTTATTTACCTTGCTACTTTATGCGTGACCTTGCACTGCGCAGGAAATAGCGCTGGGAGGCACAGATCATCTAAATTCCTTTCTGGTAATGCAGCGAAATTAGGCATTTTGGTGTCGGCTTGGATGTCTCTATGATAATCGGTATAGATAGATGTCGTACGTCATTTCGATTACAATTTCTGCAATCCTTAGATAGACCGCCTTTCCAATTTGCCTAAGATAACTTCCATGATAACCTCCGCGCACTTTGCGCCTACAACGGCAGCATGAATTTCGAGGTCGGCTTGTTGGAGTAGCCTTATCTATAGCTACCTCTGATGGGGCATTCAAGCGAGAATCTAGAACCGGCGGAGCAATACAAATGTTGTTTCAACGATCGACTCTCCTCCTGCAAAAAGAATATGTTTGCTTCTTTCGCGCGAGTGACGTTGCATTGAAGTGCTTATTGAAAGTTGTGCATCTATAAACTGCAGAAATATGCTTGTCTTGATAAAACTCTGCTACCTGATATTTTAAAATGCATAAATATGATTTCTGATATCCGAAAAAGTCTGATAAACTTACGATTTCGCTGGCGTTTTTCAGCAATAGTATCTGCCGGATAGCAGAAGCGTAGCCGTATTCACTTTTTCGTGGTTGCTGCCGGAGACAGTAACGATTGTAATATGGACTAGTCTTCTTCTTTGACAAAATAGCAGGCAGTTTCCGCCATATCGAGACACTCAGTGACCTCGTGGATCTTTCATAGAAGAGAATGCTGACATTCAGGAATATTAGAATGAAGGACAAATATCTTCGGTATCTTTTCGATAGTCCCATAGGTTCAATGTGTTTGGAAGCTGAGCAGCTATCGGTAGAGATAAGGTCAGTTGTAATGGGCAGGATACCGCTATGACGATTCACGGGATGTAATGTGAACGTGTTTATGTTAGCAGTCAAGAGGATGTTTAAGTCACCTAGATTCTGCATAGAGGCAGCATGATTCTGCGTTAACGAATGTACTCTAATAACCGTGCTTCGTTTAGAGAAAGAATGAAAAAGCAGGCCTGCCATGAAATATTTATTGGAACCAAGAACTAGCCTTTTCCCGTCGCCTCATAGCACAAACAAACAACGAGCGCATACAGTAAATCACAGTTAGTTCGGGAGGAAATTAATGCAAAATAACAAAGTCATGATCTAGTGCTGGAGAGGCTTATTAATCGATTTTGTTAATAGGGTAAAGGGTTGAAAACGGCAGAGAAAGGGGGAATGGGAAGATCAATTAGCTTGAGGTTATCACGGCAAATCTAAGTGGACCACATGCTTTGACCGTCAACCTAGGTCCGGCTCCCTATAACGCCGTGTACATGGGAAAGTTCCCAGAGGGATGTTTTGTCGTCCACGGAGTGGTAAATGATGTAGTATTTTTTAATATTTTGCATCCTCTTTTTAGAAGCCGCCTAGGCAGGTGCTCCCTAGGCTTGGCTGCACATTTCATCTGCGTTCGTCCAGTGTATTTGCACGAAGAAGGGCAGATATGCGATCGCCAGCATGAGCATCACCGTCGTTGGTATCTCGAAGCCGTCATAGATTAGCATTTTAAATGCTGTCATTCTTGAAGAGCGAAAACAAAAAGTGGACTATTTTGATAAATACATTGTCTGTCAGGTAATGGCATGAGGCAGTTGATGTACTTGTAGACGGAACCTTCTGGATATTCAGGCTTAAGTATCGTTGTCCACAGGAAAATTTTTAAGAAGACACAGAATATGAAGCAACACTCTAGCCGTCCTCGGGTCAGGATGACAAGGAGACAACAACACGTGATAGCACCATCGCAAAAATGTCCAGATTACGCGTGACCTTCAAGTGCCGACACCACGCGAGGACACAAGGACTTACGCGCGCACGAATTAGCACCGTCTAACCCTGAGGTCATCAGCATCACACGACGGCTGTCCAGTTAAACGTGCCACACAGGGAGCAATAAGAAGCGACATAGGGCACTTGGGATGCTTGCCCCTAAATACGAGGCACTGGAGAGAAGGCGGCGTTCTGTAGCCCACAAGAGAGGATACTGCGGTCAAACAGGACAAACTGCCGACCAGACGACGCTACCGACAGAGACGCTGAGGAGTTGAAACACACGCGTAGAAGCTGATGTACACACAGAGGCTCTTGCAGTAAACGGTTCTCTACTATCCTGTCGGTGTTTTCTCTTCCTACCATACAACTTTGGGAATATAACAGAAGCAAGCACTGCATTCGATGTCTCAATAGAATATATTTGTTTTACTCCTAGTATTAAGGTTAACACCAAGTTACTTTGCTATTGTGCTATCAGTGAAAAACTCAGCAAATGCCAGCATTGTCCTTAACATGTATTCTTGTGGAAAAAAGCCTCCCCTGAGGGGAGCCTCTTCTTGCCTAAATGCGTGAATGTTCAGGAAGGCAGGTGATTATTCTTCTTTTTTTCAAATGTTTATCTAATCTTCGGATGCAGCGTATTAGTCGCAAAAGGAAACCCTTCATCTTCTTTTTTTCAGCGAACATTGAAAATACACCGTCCACACGTCTTCTGTACACACTTATAATGCTCACTGTCACATATAGGTTTCCTTGGTGGTGGTTTTTGGGGAAGTCAGCAAAGGGCAGGCCAAGTAGAGTTCTTATTGCTATTTCTGTATGATTGGCCGTTGAATAGGATTTGGATGTTCCTTGTACGCAGTTGTACTAGGTCCCGTAATATTAGGGTTTACACTGAAATTTCAGAAGCAGGAATACAAATGACGTCTTTTATATCACCCAGTGGTACGTCAGTACCCAATGAGTATACGTCCACTTTCTTGAAGGAACAATATGCTTAGTTGCGATAAGGTGAGTTATACATGGACGTTATCTTTTCCTAGAGGTATATAACTTTCATAAGTTGGAGGTAAGTCATATGTTCACATGCTTTAGTATACACCAGACCATTATTCAGCAAGAATACATTGTCTCTCAGGCTGAGTTTTCTGATGTTATGCGTTTTTTAATTCCACTCTATTTGTAAACGACATTTATTTTGGTTATTTAGAATAGCTCCTATTATCTTTACATAGTTCCTGTGTTCGACGATGAAAAGCATATGCCCATTTTCCGTTTTATAAAATATCATTTCTATTTGCTGTTTTATGGCAGCTTATGCAACCATATTTTATCAAGTTATATGTCTACGTCGTGTTACTGGAGTGTGCATGATAGATAAATTGTGTCCTAATCTAGCCCGTCTTGTCAATGGATATATTATGAATACCTTCATCCATGTTGATGGGAAAAAAGTGTTCAATCACTTAGGGCGAACTGATTCTACAATCTAATGATGTATAATATAGGCATCTTTAACTAACACTGAACAGCAAACTAAACTTATCTTGTCAAAAACAGGTTTCGTGTGATGCCGGCAGGATGCACTGTAGCCGACGAAACCAATTGATTTCTCTATTGTTTGACTGCGCAAGATAGTCAAGTTTTTGAAAGTTAAACTTCCTCTCCTTCGAAGACGGACCTTGTAAAACTCAGCTTGACAGTCCGTGCTGTTTATTTATTTGAGTATAAATTCCATTCGTGCGTTCCATTCCATCATTCCACATCGCAGACGCAAAGACTTTGCCAGAAAACTAATAATTTCCACGTGCAGATCCTGCTCCACGCATTTTTCAACATTTTTACATGGCACACCTTTGACATAATCGTGAAACGTAGGAGGTAATGCGACTACTCATCGGATGCCTCCTGAATAACGAATGAGTATGATAAATGGTCGAGGCGAGAAAAAGGCAAATTTGAATTTGTCGAGAAAAAAAATCAATACAAAACAACAATGTCACGGCGTTTTGCCGTACAGGCTAGTCAAAAGAATTTGTAACTTAAAAGATATTATGAGGAGGGTAAGAGCGGGAAAACATTTGAAGCACAAAAAGAAATGGAAAACTCAAATGCTAATGAGATGGAGGTTAGCTCGCCAAAGTAAGTTTGACCGTGTGGTCCATCTGATAATATTGGTTTGTTTTCACACGCCATTTATAGGTCACTTCCATGTAGCGCAAGTTTCGAGTTGATTATGCCCGATCAAATACTTCGAAGGATGCTTTGGACTTCAGAGTTGTATTAAGTACCAAGCAGGTTTAACCACATGAAAGTACGTGGGATTAAGGTTCGTGTTCTAGAAATCGCCTGGGTAGGGCCAACCCTGGCAGCCAATCGCATCTGGATTGGACGATGCATTTACAGATGCATTCAGTGGCAGATTAAAGGAACATCTTCCCAACGTCCTGACCTCTTCTTTTGCTTGTTTTTCTATACGTAATTTAAACTAGCTTTCATACTCATTGCTTTACATTTTTGTTTTCAATGAATACTAAGAAAACGTGTTTCGAATTCATTTTGTCATTGGTGTAACTCTTGACATTGTTTAAACGGCTTAAACTGCACATGGACATATGGGGCAAAACAATGAATATTTGTAAACAATGACCACCTAAATGGAGACCGATATAATGCTGAAGTACATAGAAATGTGGGCTACATAACGTCAAAATTATGAGAACAATAAGGGCAGCATGCGTTCAATTACGTACATTTTTACAAGGCCAATTTCTATATTTAAACCAAAAGAAAGCAAGTAAACGTCTCGTATTAGCAATCTATGTACATTCCTCCTTCTGAACTGCTTTCTGGAAATTGCCTGTTTCTCTCTATCAGCAATCGTTTTGAGCACGATGTAGTCTGATCGGCTGGACGGTGGGAAGGATTTGTTCTTTGAGAGTCATCTTCTCATGCCCAGATTCAGTTTCTGCGCAGGTGCTTCGAGAGTAGTATGTCGCTTATGTGGTATTTCATACATACCTCCAGCTTAAACAGAGACGCGCATTGGTTTAACACGGCAGATGAATGATCTGAGTGCTCCTTTAAGACTACCCCTCCAGGCTACGGAAATACAGTCAAAGGATTGATCAAGAGAAGCCAATATACTGTGAATTCATGGGTGAGAATGGTACAGGACTGTTTCAGCAGAAAGTGTCCAAACGAACCACGAACATAAAACGGCGCTTGAAGCAGCACTTGAGAACACATTCTATAAGCTGCCTGGTCCAACGTCATGCACCAACGAAAAACTGGAACGCAAGCTGTAGGCACAAAGATCTGACCGAGGAACAAATGTAGGCGTTAAAGTTGATGATTGCATTCATTACAGCTGGTACGTTGCCTGCGAAAATGGTTATTGCAGTAGAGTCAAACCTCAGTCCAACAGAAACAACGGGCGAAGTGCAGCCATGGCTCATAGAACGTGTCAATCGTTCTCAAAGGATAAATGGAATGCATTCAAGGAAATCAGGGCGCATATTGACGTTCTTTTGGTTACTTTAGTCAAGAGGCGCTCCACGGTCGTATTGCGAATCCAGTCCCGCAGAAAAACACTGACACACAAGAGCACTACGACGCTGGTGCATTTTTATTGCACTATTGCGTAATTAAATGGTTAAACATGTATCCGTTCTGTTCTTATTTCAGGTAAACACTTTATTCAATATTTTTATACATTGAACGTTCGTAACATTATTTAGCAGTAGCTTCCAGTTCGTTTCTAGCCAACAACATAATCGATTTCTTGCAAATGCAACTTCATCGCCTTATGCGACATGGTGTACCGTATTTACATGCAAACTAATTTTCACTTCAAATTAATCCGTCAAACCGTGCATGTATCGACAGGTGTTAAGGCTTAGAGGTTTAACCCTTACAGCTACGATCTTCCAGGTCCGGTTCCTTAGGACAGGAGATAGGACGGTGGAAAAGCCAGATTGTTACGAAAAGTGTAATCTGCCGAAGGTTAGGAGGATAAATGGAAAGATTTTTGACTCTCGGATGTCTGCAGTCCAGCTGCCAGGGCGTCAATTCCGGAGTGACGAGAGCATCGGAAATCG